ACTATATCTTAAACATCATAATAAAATACCAAGAGGTTTTTTCTACCTGGTTTCAAGAAGAGCATATTTGATAATGTTACTGATCTCTCTCCAATAATTAAAGCAGTCCATCCCTTCAGATTTATCATATTGAACTTCAAAACAATCCTGATTCCTAGATTCAGTCATTATTAAAATACTGAATTATGCTTGGGCTTTTGATCTTGGATTCAGGGCTTGGGAATTGCCATATATTGGCATTAGTGAGCTGTCACTGATCAAGCTAGTAATTATTTCAAAAGACTGGGAACACTGTATCACATATAATGAATCTATCTATTGAACACTTTCATCTACTTCCCCTCCAGAAAAGAAAAAAGTCTAGCATTAGGTCAGACTAGACTGCCCCCATCTCTCCTGAGCTCAACCCTCTAGCTTCAGATTGCCCTTTAGGAATTTATTTTGACCTTCAAACTGATCTTGGTGTTCACATGAATCTTTTCCATCTGCTTCATTATATGTATGTTACCATGGGATGGGGGACAGTGGAGCATGGTGTCTTTTTGGCCCGGTTGCATTCTATTTAGGACTGAGCCCTTCCCAGGAATGTATCACAAGCAAAACTCCACCTTTCTTGAAGAACAGTAGTAGTTGCTTCTCAACAGTATCCACCAATCCTAGGTTTGTAGCCTGATTGTTTTGTCTGTCAACATCTTTTACTGTTGAGTGAAAATAGGATCTTCCGTGATATTTTCATAAAACTTACAGACAATTAAGTTGTTTGGCTTTGGATAAAGACAGGGACAAAGCAACATTTTACTGTTGTTCTTCACAATCCACTGAACTCACTCTGCTCAGCTGTGTCTGTGAGCAGTGGGAAAAAATCACATTTAGATCTCCATGTGGACCTGCTTCGTCTGCACCTCTGTCCCTACCTCCTGCGGGGACACTAGAAAGGAGATTGGGGAAATGAGTGATAATGGTGCAAGACTCAAGCCTTTCATTGCTCCCAGGTTCTATGGCTCTCTATTTAATGTTGGAAACATTGAAAAACAAACAAAACAGACCATAAATAGTTCACTGGCCAAGAAGGGAACTATTCATAGCTGTATAGCTGTAGTTTCTAAAGTATAGAACAGATAGTGTAGTTTTGAGTCAGCACCTCTTATATTTGTCCTTATTATCTCTAGTTACATTTGTTATCTCATAAAATCTTTACAACAAATCTGTAATATTTTACATTTTACAGTTTAAGAATCTGAAGCTTACAGGGGTTAAGTAAGTAACCTGCCCAAGATTGTATAGCTATGAATTATAAGAACCACATTCCAATTTGGAATGAAATCAGACAGTTTCACAGAATTGAAGGCAAGCTTGGAAGATAGACAGGAACCATGGGCTCCTAGGGAGCAGGGAACTCAGACAAAGCTAAATTATAGAATAGCATGGCTTGAGCACCACATTTGGTACTTTTACAAATGTGCATTCAGTGCATGATGATATTGGACTCAATGCCAGCATAGAGAATTCATCAACTGTTCTTTTGTCTTTGTGTCATTCTTAAAAAATTTAAATTCCCAGATGGTCTCCATCATGTGTTAGTGTTCTAGTTGCCAGGAAGTGGAGAGGAGTATCTGGTTTAATTTGGCTTCTGTGGTAGACATTTGGGCCCTGCTTCCCTCTAAGGCTGGCGCAATCAGAGATCTCCCCAATAAGGAAGAGTATTTGGATGTTGGACAACAACAATACAAAGGGGAGATGTCCACCACACCAGCCACTGCTGTACCTGATGCAGATGTCCACGTGGGCTTCTGTGGAGGATTGGTTGAAATGAGAACCTATGCCTTCCCCCATAAAACTGGTTATTGTTCCTGGGATGGGATCCGTCTAACAGAGTCCAACAGGACTATCAGGCACTGTACAAACTTCAGGTATTTTCACATCAGGACCTCTGGCTGTTTCTGAATCTCTAAGACTGACCGTCACAGAGGTGAATGATCTGTAGAATTTGGCAGCTGTTAGGGTTAATCTAAGGAGCGAGTAGATAGAAGAGGAGCCTACAGCGAGAACCCTTATCGCATTTACTAGCTTAACTAACGAATCCTTAGAGTGGCATCTTGAGACCCTAAATTTGTATGTCACTGTACCTTTACTTGATTAATCATATGAAATATTTTCTTGTTGTGAAAAGGAAAAAGAATTATGTGCAAATGGCTAACTTGCCTACCTTTTTTTTTATTTCCTTTATTCCTATCTTGGCCACCCCTCCACCACCCCACCACCCCTATCCTTCCCCCTTTCCTTCCTTGCTTTCTTTCATAGTGGATAACCACATTTACCATTACATGGACATTGTTTAGCCAGTTTATGTCTCTCAGGGAGGGTCTGCAGAGTTTGATGAACCCACGCTGTAGGCTAGGCGACCCCAGGCTTTTGTGCTACAGACTTGCAACCTGTTCCCTTCTCTGACTGAGATCTCAGTGCTTTCTCAGGCGGTGGGCACAGAGCCTGCACTAGGGCACTGCACCTTTGGAGTTCTCTTTTAACCTGACCTTAGGTGCGTTGTTTTTAGTACTGTTGACTTTGTGTAGCTTATTTGATCAAATCTGTAAGAGTTTAAAATCACATCAAGTGAGCAGATTTTTTTTTAGCTCTTACTTGGAGCAAGATGCTTTATTAGGAAACTATACATTGGGGGTTTCTGTGTATGTGGATGAATATGCTGAAATGTGTTGCAGTCATGAGTTTTTTATTGTTAAGTGTTGTCGAGTCGGTTCCAACCCAAGTGACCCTGTATATAGGGCACTTAACCTTTAGGTTAGCAGTTAAATACAAACTGTTTGCACCACTTATTGGCTTCAGAACATAGGAAGCACTTTCAAAAATGCCTTATGAAGTGCTGACTTACTGGGCAGTTTTTACTTGTCCTTAAATGTTATATAAATTTGCCCTTAATTTGAAATGATTGAACCAACCCCTACTTAACAAATTCTTCATCATAATCACCTTTTATATAATATACATGCAGCTTTTAAATCATTGAAAAGATCTTAAACCTTTTCTTGCACTAAAACCCCAAAACCAAACCCAGTGCCATTGAGTCGATCCCAAACAGCAACTCTATAGGACAGAGTAGAGCTGTTCCATAGGGTTTCCGAGGCTGTAAATCATCATGGAAGCAGACTGCCTTGTCTTTCTCCTGAGGAAGGACTGACTAGTGGATTTGAACCTTTCCATTAGCAGCCCAATGCTTAATCCGCTGTGTCAACAGGACTCTGTTTTCTTGCATTAAGGTAAGGACTCCTGGTGTGATGCTGTAGGATCATCACTGGATTGTAAACCACAAGGTTGGCAGCTCAAACCCACCAGCTGCTCCTCGGAAACTCGATGTTGTTAAGTGCCATGGAATTGGATGTGACCTGTAGTGACTTTATACAGGGTTTCCGAGGAGTAGCTAGTGAGCTTGAACCGCCGACTTTGTGGTTCAAACCAACTTTGCAATCCAGCACATGAACCTACGGCGCCACAACAAGACTCCTATACATGGTCACTATAAGTCAGAACTGACCCGATGGCTGTTAACAATAACAAAAAAGGTATGCATTTGTTCTGACTTATCTACAAATTCAACTTAAAGACACAGCAGATGATCTCATTCATAACCTGGGGACTGCCTATATTCAAATGAGTTTTTGTTAGCTATCTTTTTCTGAAACTGAGATTGATTCTGAAATGGTGGAAAATTTATACTCATGTATGTTTTTAAATTTTAATGATTTTAGATGAAAGGATAATTATACATTTCCTATGGGAAGAAGAGCCACAGTGTCATGCATTCTTCTTTTATTATTACAGGTATTCCAGGATTTGGGGACTGAAGTGCTATCTGGAGCTGCCAGAGGTTACAACATATGCCTTTTTGCCTATGGACAGACAGGCTCTGGGAAGACGTATACCATGCTGGGGACCCCAGTAAGTAATTTAGTGTTGTAATGCAGTATCTTCCTAATGCCACAGCAAGCCTGAGTCTTGTATTGATTGCCTAGCAAGGGCTCCATTCTTGCCACAGACATAGAATGTGAGTCTGTCAATTTTAATAAGATTTGTGGGACTTCTTCTGTATTCAGAATGGGTTTTAAGCACTTTAACTGAAAGTTGTTTTTGGTTTTAAAGCTTTTATTGTGAATTGAGTGCTAGCCTACATGGCAGAGCATCAGTTTTGCATCCAATCAGTTGCATCTTCTTTCGTTGTAATGATTTCCTTTTTTGATGTACACAGAAACATGCAGGAATATATAATCGTTTAAACAACCAAAGGGCACATTTTGCAAACCTGCCCCCTGCCCGCCAGCACACAGCCTTTCTCTTTCCATGAGTCTCAATCCTCAGCAGTCTGTCTCCCCATGCCATCATCTCTTCCTCCGTCTCTGGTGTTACTGCTTCTCCGGATAGGATCTCACGTTCTGCTCATGCTCTTCCTTCTTGCTGGTCTCAGGGTCCTCTATTCCTGTTCTTAAATGTTAAGATTAACTACTCCCCCTTTTTGTTACATATCTTCTACCTGTACAATTGTGACAACCGCAATTAGTCATGATAACAATTGTTGTTGTTAGGTGTCATTGAGTTGGTACCGACTCATAGCGACCCTATACAAAACAGAATGAACCACTGCCCGGTCCTGGGCCAACCTCACAATTGTTGCCACATTTGAGCCCATTGATGCTGCCACTTTGCTAATCCATCTCCCTGGGGGTCTTCCTCTTTTTCTCCAACCCTCCACCTTACCAAACGTGATATCCGTCTCTAGCAACTGGTCCTTACTGACAATATGTCTGAAGTATGAGAGATGAAGTTTGGCTATCCTGGCCTCCAAGGAACACTCTGGCTGCACGTCTTCCCACACGGATCTGTTTGTTCTTTTGGCAGCCCATGGCACTTTCAGTATTCTCCTCCAACACCATAACTCAAAAGCATCAATTCTTCTACGGTCTTCCTTATTCA